CTTGCTCCCTCTGTCCCTTCCTTCCTTCCTTCCTGTTTTTCCTTTTTCCTTCTTTCTTCCTCCCTCTCTTCTTCCCTCCTCTCCCTCCTTTTCTCTCCATTTTCCTCCTTCCTTTCCTCTTCTCCTCTCTCTTGTCTTTCTTCCCCCTGCCCCCTCCCTCCTCTCTCTCTCTCCCCCCCCTCACGTGCATGCACATGTGCACACACACATACATAATATTCTAGGGATAGTCTGGACTTCGTGATAAGGAAGTATCATTTGTGATTGTTTTTTAAGTATCAATCTCTAAAATGCACTGGGTAATACAAGTTTTTCTCAGTAGGTTTTAGGGAGTCGAAGAGTCATTTGAAGTCTTATCTGTTGGTTTCATACAAATTTAATATTGTTCCAAACAGCTGTGCGTTTCCTCTAAGAAGTGTCGTCCCATGAGACGTGCCCGCGCGTGCCGGTGCGCGCTCGCCGCTCACGCGTGAGGCACACTAACATGTCCGCGTCTCAGACTGGTGTCTCCAGGCCCCGGCCCAGCTTCCCGCAGCCTCCACTCCTCCTCGCTCAGCAATTTGAGAACTGGGTGGGAAGTGGGGGGGGGGATTCTGTAATGACATTCTGGCACACACTAAATCAGAAAAATGGTGCAAGTTTGGAGATAATTGGGTGGCTGTGGAATTATAATCGAGGGAAAGCTGTAATTGGAATAATTATTAGGCACAAAGGCAGCATGTTTAACATGTAGTAATTGTGCAGAGGATTTTGCATTGAAATGTGTTTTAAATAGAAAAGAGCCGAACATCGATTGAATCACTCTGCAGGCTGCAAAGAGAAGCTGCAGTTATCCCGCCAGAACACCTCGGGGTCCCCCTTCATCCCCACCCAGAGGTCCCCACCTCAGCACGAGCTTTGGTTGTGCGGTAAGAGGGAAATTATAACCAGACTCTGCTCAGGAGGCTGAGATCTGAGGATCTTGGTTAGAAGCCAGCTCTGGCAGGGAAGTCCATACACTCTCACCCCCCACTAACCACCAAAAAGCTGAAAGCAGAACTCAAGTGGTAGAATACTAACCTTGAGTGAAAAGCCTCAGGGACCATGCCCAGGCCCTGAGTTCAAGCCCCGGCACCCGCACACAAAAAAAACAAATACATAAAATAAAGAGGGAAGTTACTCTATTTGGTTAAAAAAATAATTCATACAGCGTGGTTGGGGAGGACTCTCTGACACTTGGACATTGAAGTAATACGTGAAGGCAAGTGCATTCGACCGCTCAAATATTTAATTTCTCTAATCAGGGCGAAGCCTTGGAGGAGGGGCTGGAGATAGAAGGGGCTCCCCAGGGTGAGCGTGGTGGATCTAAACTCACAAAGAGAAGGTGGTGAAGACAGACAGGGCCGGGGAGGAGGGTGACAGGAGTGTCATTGGAAGGGGTACCATTAAGCCGAAGAACTACATCATTAATGTCCAAGACAAAAACAGGACAAACCCAGCAGAACACTCGGTGAACGGAGTGATAAAGGAAGTAGGAAACGGGAAATCAGTCATAGGGAGGAATGATCTAGAAGGGGGAGAATGACCGAAGGGGTGAGTCTGGTCAGGAAGCGTTCATCTCTTAGGTGGACACGTTCAGTTGTAATCCCCTGGTACAACCTTTTGAGGTTCAGGAAACAAATAAATTAGAGAAGAAAACAGGGAAATCGAATGACAGAATCATTTACGGGGTGAAGGGGACACTGGTGTTAACCCGGGGCCTCCGGTCCTAGGCTGCGTAGACGGTGACATCACAGGCTGACACCCAGGGGTCTCGGACAGCATCATGGAAAGCTAGCTCATCGCCCGGGCAGAGGCGCAGAGCAATCACACAGAAACAGAGTAGGAAGATAGAATCCCACAGGGTGTGCAGGCAGACTGACACGGGTACCCAAGGAGAGGACCAAAGCAGGCTGCAAGCTCTGGTCTGTGCGGCTCTGGTCGTGTGTAACTTGGAGACATTTGTGCTGGGCCCCCTGGTGCGGGCAGGCAGCAGTGGGGCTGCAGCTGGATAGCAGTGAGGAAAAGCCCCAAGACCCAGCTCTGAACCCCCAGTGTCACACCAGGGCACTCCACAGAGAAGGCTGTGGGGGAGGGAGGCCAGCCTGCCAAGCCTGCCACCAGACATTGATCAGCTGCCCGTAGGTCCCCTACGTGGCGGGCACCATAAAAGGCAAGGGAGAGCACCGAGAAGCCAGGGTGAGCCGGGAGGAAGCGGGGGGGGGCTGCCAGGGGCCTGGCTGTGGAAAGCCAAGAGAGCATGCCTTTACAGGGAAGGGGTCACAGACCTCTGATTCCCACAAAAGGCAGAGCCCGAGCTTGGTGCTGAACTCTGTACCTGGGTGCTGGGTCCACCATAACTGAGTCCTTTAGCCTAGGCAGGGCTGCAGCAATGAAATCTCCTCTCAGTTCCCGTGGTTGGCACCCCAGGCGCCCTCTCCTTGAGCATCACCTCTGTGGCTGGCCATGTCCAGACTTCTCCTCCAGTGGCGTGGGCGAGGGCTGCCCATGGTGACCGGCATCTTAAATAAGGGTCTGTAAAGACCCTCTTCCCAAGCAAGGTCAGAACCCGAGCTGCCAAGGTCACAACTTAAGATACGAATCGGAAGAGTGACCGGTGTCTTTTAACCCTCAGCTCCTGGGAGACCTGTTCCCCTGGGGTGCTGTTTGTGGACCGCTGCTCCTCACCTCGCAGGGAAGCAGAGATGAGGGAGCCGTGGGAGCCAGGCTGAGATCTAAGGGCGGGAGAGGGAGCGTGTGCGCGGAGGGAGGCAGCGCAGCATCCCGATGCCGGAGGAAGGAGCTGGGGAGGCCAGGCAGGAAGAGGAAAGGCTTGAAGGGGAGTGAGACTCGGGGAAACATGGACCAAAATGACCCAAAACCAGACCCTTTGTCAGTGGGGAGAGACTGGATAGTCGTGGGGCCCTGACGGCTCCCAGGCCATGGTGGCTGAGACCTCAGACACCGCAGCTGTGGTGGCCTCGGGCTGACGTGCAGCTTTTGGCCGTCCCCATTGTTTGAATAACACTGCTGCTCCGAGTCAGCCCTGAGTGTGGTGGAGGGCCCGGCATGCACTCGGCCTGGGGGACCCAGGCTCCTTGGGTGGTGGCCACAGGTGTGATGCCCTGGGGAAGGGTGGCCCCTGCCCAGGATGGAGCTGGGACTCAGGGATCCGATTCCACAGGAAGCAGGTGCTTAGGTCTCCACCCTTCCTCAGAAGCACCGTCTTCCTGACACCGTGTCATTTGGGGTCCTGTGAAGCCCCAGGCGGGCGTCTCCTGCAGTCAGGGCTGTCAGACCCCAGCTGTTCATGCCAGAAACCCTTGAGGAGCCAAAATAACATTTTGTGTTCCCCCCTACACCTTGATGATCAGACATCTGCACCCTGCAGCTCCGGCGCCTCCCACAGGGAGCTGAGCCAAGGCCCGTGACACTCAGCCCTCTGCCAGCCGCACAGTGAGCGGCCCCAGCCCTGTCTGCGGGGGGAGAGCAGGGGAAGCTCCATCCTCTGTGGGCACAGAGGTCCCCAGCCACGCAGGAGGGGGAGCAGAGAGGGCGGTGGGAGTCTGTGTGTATATATGTCTGTCTGTCTGTCTCTGTCGATGAGCATGCACCATCATCTTTTACACAGAAGGCATTTTAAATGTGCCACTGTTGTACTGGTATTTGGGGAGTTTTTTAAATATATGTTTAAGTACCCAACACCAGTTTTCAGACTCTTAAGAGTAATCCAGTCAGGCGTCTGTAGCTCACACCTATAATCTTGGCTACCCAGGAGACTGGGATCTAAGAATCATAGTTCCAAGCCAGCCCAGACAGGAAAGCCCATGAGACTCTTACCTCCAATTAACTATCAAAAAACTGGATGTGGTGCTGTGGCTCAAAGTGTTAGAACACTAGCCTTGAGCAAAAGCGCTCAGGGACAACACCTGGGCTCCTGTTCAAGCCCCACAACTGATTAAAAAAAAAAAAAAGAATTCAATCTCAGCTTATGTAAAATGAGTTATATAAACTTATACAAAATAAAACAAGCAGATATGCTCACTTACCTATGAAAAGGCAGTGCACTTAATATTTTATAGGAGTATGAAAATAGAATATTAAACCAGTAGAAAAATGGATACGTTTCAATAAGAACCCCATGTTCAAATTATATGTAACTTTCCAGGTGGTTTTTGTTTCTCTGGAAGTACTAGGGGTTGAAATTAGGGCCTAAGAGTTGCTCGGCAGGCTCTTTACCACTTGAGCCATACCTCCAGCTCTTTTTCCATTGGTTATTTTCAAGGTAACATTTCATTTTATGGGTTGTGATCTTCCTACTTTCCAGAGTCATGGAGGGCAGGCATGCCCCACTGCGTCCAGCCACGTCTTCTCTGTCTCTGGGGTCACAGGTGTTCACCACCACACCCCCTCTTACAACAAGTCTCTCAGATGAGATCCCCAGTCCTCAAACCTCCCAAATAAGTAGGATTACAGATTTGATCCACCAGGCTCAGCTTTAGGGGTTTGTGGGGGTTGGGGGTGTTTTGAAGTGTGGAGGTGGTACTGAGTTTTGAATTCGGGCCTCATACTTGCTAGAACAGTGCTATACCACCTGAGTCCGCCATCATCCCTAAGCCCATTTCATTGTTGTTGATGATAGTGGCGATTTTCATAATAGGGTCTTGTGTACTTGTTAATATAATGCACTACATTTGTGCTTCTGTCTTCATTTGTAACTAAAGCAAAGGTCATCTCAACATGAAATAAAAGGAGAAGAGGAGGAAGAAAAGGACAGTCTGTCTTAAAGAGAGATGTTTCTTCTCAAATTAAGCAGTCCTGGAGGAAGGGTACCTGCTGCTGAATGCCCCCCACCCTGCCCCTGGAGACGTGGCGTCCAGCCCCCCTCACAGGGAGCCCCGTCCCAGCACCCACCTCCTCTGTGAGGGGTCTGCAGAGAACTTGCGTCCTCTTGTCTTGATGTGTCTTCTTTCCCTCCACAGGAACTTGACCGGCACATTTCCTGACTACCCTGAACCCGAAGAAGGAGGCTCAGCTATTATCTTTTCTGACAAGACCCCAGAACAGGTACGAGTGAGACTGAGAAGTAGAATGTCAATGTCTCATAATCACATTTCTTTAGACTTTAACGCTAACAGGCTCGTGGTGTTTTTTAGGCCTTGGTTATTTTTCTACTGTCATGTACATGGACGCATTCTATGGCGTATCTCAGTACATGATTCTTTCAAGTTTCTTTGAAAATGAATGTATCCTTCTTCCTGCCCAGGCTTTGAAAAGGATACGCTGATTATAAAGCTCATTCCCTTGGTAAATTCTAAGCAGCTGCCCTCCAGGACTCATTACCTCCTAGTTCCTGCCCATCTTTCCATCATTCTCCTTGTCCCTCCCAGCACTGGTGTGACTCCAGCCGTCCACTTACCTGTCCCTCTAAGTCTCACCTTCAGCACCTTTGTACATGGTCTACTCTTCCCTTGCTCTAGGGTGTCTCTATCAGAACTAGTGGCTAACGTTTCCTTGAAAATGCGAGCTGCAATCAGATAAAAACCAGGAAGGGAGTTATATTGTGAAAGTGTTAATTATATCACTTCAAAATATGAGTTTCCATCCTAGGAAACTTAACAAGAAATTTTATTGACAAATTAAGTGATTGTACAGAAGTAGCTGTCAAAACTTTACTGAAGAAAAGGAAAAAAAGATTGGGTCAAATAGAATAATGGATCATTTTTCTGGATAGAAAGACTCAATTAAGCACAAAAACATATTATCTTCCTAGTACTCCCTGAAGTAAATGCAGTTCAATCAAAATAATTTAATCATGGTAGTCATAATAATAAAATCATAACAATCAAAGTAATTTTTGTATTAACAAATTTATTTTCAAGTTTATCTAGAAAAATCTATTGAAATATCCAAAACGCTCTCTTTAATAACTATAATGATGGAGGATTTGTGTTATAGATACAACTCTAATTTTTTAAAGTAATTAAACACCACAGTTTTGGAATAGCAACAACAAAAATAACAGGTAACATGTATGGAGCAAATATTCCATGCCAAGTACCTGCAAAACACCTTATGCAAATTAACTTATGAAGATCAAGCAGTTTGGTAGTGAGCTACCCAAATAGGCTGGCTTTAGAATACTGCATCTGAAACTGATTCTAATGTAAACTGGAGCTCAGTAATACAGTGTCATTTTGTGGAAGTCGAGAAGGCTGCAGCTGAGCAGGTCTGTAATCCCAGCTACTGAGGAGACAGAGGGAGGCCAGCCTAGAGAGTTAGCGACACCCTATCACAACAGTGAAATTAAAACAGAAGGTCTAGGCTTGGTCTCAGTGATAGTGTATCCCGAGAAATAATGAAACTCTAGGTTCAAGCTTCAACCCCAGAACTTCCAAAAAAATGGAGGGAATTATGGACTATTAAACAATGGACCATTAAGTAGTATCAGGCTTACCAGCTCACCCTTGGCAAAATCAAGGAAATTTATTTACTCTCTTAACAAACAACAAAATAATATTCAGAGCCAATCGATGGTGGTTTGCACCTGTAACTCTAACTACTAAGGAGGCTGACATCTGAGGATAACAGTTCAAAATCAACCCCAGGCAAGAAAATCCATGACACTCATCTCCAATTAACCACCAAAACAAAAGAGCCAGAAGTGAAGTTGTGGTACAAGTGGTAGAGTGCTAGCCTTGAATAAAAACATAAATAAATTATAAGCTCAGGGATAGCACCAAGACCCTAATTTCAAACTCCAGGACCAGCACAGAAATAACAATAATAATAATCATTTTCATAGTCACTAAATATTTACATGTAAAAATATTAGACCAAAAGGCAGAATAAATTATTGGAATATTTAAGAATCAGAGGGTAGAAAATCATTTTAGAGACAGACATCAGGGGCAGAAATCATTGAGAAAAGATACTGGTATGTCTGAGTACATAAAACCCAAATAGCAAAAATAAATAAGTGAAGTGAAAGTCACTTGATAAATTCAGGAGATCACTGGGCATATCAGATGTGAGAACAAATTGCCATTCATATTTAACCCAGTCTTAGAAAACAGAACAATCTGAACTAACATTCCTGTAGAAAAGAATCAGAATAGGAAAAGAATTTGTCATCTTTAATTAGCATATGTTAATTGTACAAAGGCTTTTTATTGTGACATTTCCATACACGCATATAGTGTATTTTAAATTATTGTTAAGTTTACTAGCAAAGTCATTTCAACATAAAGTAATTTTACTGTGCCTGTTTACCTAGGCAATTGGTACAAATTTTAAATCAGCTCAATGACGAATTGATGATCACATGGCAAAAGTCACTGTCCTACCTTCTGCAGAATTAGCCGAAATTAGCAGAACACTCTGTATAGGACACAGAGAGTCGATGCTTTAATGTGGCTTCCCTTTGACTCAGGAATGCTATTTGAGGAATTTAAACTGAAGCACATAATAAGACAAATTGCCACAGACTAGAGGTCAGTAGTCAGCATTTTAGTCTGTGGAGTGCACCTTCTGTGCCAGATCTATCCAGCTCTGCCATGCCCCCCGCGTGTGGCCACAGACAGTGGAGAAGTGGGCAGGCGGGCCTGGGTTCCAGCCAAGATAGGTTTCAAAAGCAGGCAGCCGGCCAAGTTTGTCCCACGCACACAGCTTGCGTCCCCCACCCCGCCATACATTTTCAAAGCAGCTCATGGCCTCTCCCCTTCATACAACCCTACCCAGAAGACCCGACTAGTTCTCAGACAAGGAACCAAATGCATGAAGCTCTGGGCAGCAGGAAAACCCAGGCTGGCGCCCTTCCCTTCCCCACCCCTCCACCTACCATGTCCCACATCCCGTGACCCGTGTGAGTCCAGGGGTCATGCCCAGGGCTCCTTTTTAGCCAGAAGTTATCTTGCTCCCCTTCCCTGCCAGAATCAGCGCCCACTCCCCCCTCCAACACACACACCTCACCCCACTACCCTTCCCCCTGCCTCTCTGTCAACTCTGTGGTTCAGTCCGTTCAGCCAGCCCTGCCCCAAGGATCTGTCATCTTCCTGGTCCTATCACTGGATTATTAGGCACAAGTTATGTCTTGAAAGTCAGACCAGGGCAAGCAGCCAAACTCCCTTGTGATCGTTTAGAAAGGTAGCAATTATAGGCTTAAGAATGTCGGTGGAATGTCTGAGTTGTCCACAAGCAGCATTAAGAGGGGGCGTTAACTCCAAGCAAGCTACAAACAAAGCCAGGATTATTTGCTTAATGCCTTGTGATAGAAAGGGGCCCACAGAACAGCTTAATTGTTTTTCCCCACTTGGTAGTATTGGGGATTAAACTCTGGGCCTCAGGCTTGCCAGGCAGGTTCTCCACTGATGAGCCGCACCTCTAACTCCTTTACACTGGTTATTTTGAGACAGGGTCTCACTTTTTGCCAAGAGCCATGCCTACATTATGATCCACCGGCTCTTTCCATGATAGCTGGGATCACTAGTGCACCACCACATGCAGATCTTCCATTCAGACAGAGTCTTGTGGACTTTCCTGCCTGGGCTGGCTGGAATTTCAGACCCCCCCCAATCTTATTCTCCTGTGTAACTGGAATGACAGGGCAACACTATATTCCAGTTACAACTTGGGACCGGAGGGGGTGCTTCTTTACAAGCATACCTATACTGCCCTGGAACTGCAGTCATCCGAATCTAACGTCCCACAGTTCTGAGACTACGAGCATCACACACACACACACACACACACACACACACACACACACACACACAGTTGAGCAACTTGATAGTAAAAGGCAGCGACCCGCATCCCACCGCAACCCCCACAGCCCCACCCCCACCCC